GAGCGTCAATTCTGTGGGTAAAAATGCCTTGTTGACGCCATGGGTCAGAGAAGAATGGCCAGATAGAAAGGCAAAAGTAACTCAGATAGCCACTCGTTACAACCAAGGTATGCAAAAGAACATTTCTGAACGCACAACACACCGGGTGCCACTCCTGTCAGCTAAGAACAGGCTACAATTCACACAGGCTCACCAAATATGGACATTAGAAGATTGGAAAAATGTTACCTGATGAGTCCCAATTTCTGACATCTATAATTTGGCATCAACAACATGAAAGCATTGGTCCATCCTGCCTTGTATCAACGGTTCAGGCTGGTGGTGGTGGTGTAATGATGTGGAGGGCACTTTCTTGGCACACTTTGTGCCCCTTAGTACTAACTGATCATCGTTGCAACGCCACAGCCTACCTGAGTATTGTTGCCAACCATGTCATCCCTTTATGGCCACAGTGTACCCATCTTCTGATGGCTACTTCCAGCAGGATAATGCACCATGTCCTAAAGCTCCAATCATCTGAGACTGGTTTCTTGAACATAAGGAATTCACTGTAATCAGATGGCCTCCACAGTCACCAGACCTCAATCCAATAAGAGCATCTTTTGGATGTGGTGGAATGGGAGATAAGCATCATGGATGTGCAGCCGACAAATCTGCAGCAGCTGCGTGATGCCATCATGTCAATATGCACCAAAATGTTAGAGGAATGTTTCCAGTAACTTGTTGAACCTATGCCACGAAGGATTGTCAGTTCTGAAGCCAAAATGAGTCCAACCCGGTGCTACCAGGGTGTACCCATTAAAGTGGCCAGTGAGCGCACATCTGTGTAGCATTTTCTGGCCCGAGCGTTTCACTGTTTATTTTGTTTCAGCAGCTAATGCAGAAAATAGGTGTAGAAGACCATTTGCATGTGACCGATTGGATTTCAAATCTAACATTTCTCAGTGAACCTCACTTTTGAAATAAAAAAAATGCATGAAAATAAAATCTCACAACATTTGAAGGTCATTGTAATGCAAACTCTCATCTTGCCTATAAAAACACACAAAGCTGACAGCAATGACCTGCAGGCCTTAATCAGCTCTCCATAGTTGTCAGTAATACAGCAGGTGCAGAACTCAATGTTAAGATTTTCCAACAAGGATCGAGGGGTTAAATATGTAATCGAATGGAATGTCAAAATACCCTCTCTCCTGCACTTAAAAAGTCTGAGTTACCATAAAGAACAAATACTTGGAAGCACTGAATGTGTTAAATATTTCCACTGCAGAGCTCAAAACACTGCTCTTCTTTCCTTAACCCAACACATCTTGCTTGATTGTGCTGGATGAGTGAGCAAATGCATCTATATTTCTGTCTCTGCTCAAACCCACCATTAGCCGTCTCATTGTCCTGCTTTGTTCCAGCCCTCATCATCTGTCACCGTGTGGTGCTAACCTGTAAATTTCCCCTCAGAGCTCATCGTTCATGACTGATGGGTTTGTGGCTGAGGCTTCGATAGATGTAAGGGCCCTCATGATTACATTCTGTCAGCTGTTATTACTGTCATTAGATGGCTGCTTTATGCTTTGGTCCAACGTCTGTTTGACCAGCAAGATGGATTTTAGAGCCTAATGAGATCTGCTAAACTTTGCATTAACTGCTAATGCGTCTAAAAAAGCTCTAGACAACAACAGTGCATTCAAAAAGAAAAAATACATAATAGAAGATATTACTCTCATTTATTTTGTAATCACTTGAGATCCTTTGCGTTTTACCGCATGGTGCCTCACGGTGCCTGAAGGAGCAATAATGCAAATGCAAACCCCTGCAACAATCTGCCTCTGCTATGTTTTATCTGAGCGCATGTTGCAGGCAGAGTCCAAAGAGCAGATAATACAAATAAATTCCCAAAGACATAGCAGCCTGTTTTAGGCTCACAGATAAAGTAGCACCTTCCTCTTCAACGAAATCTTCCCTCGCCTTACTGGACAATAAATCCGAATCTGCTTCCCTCGTCCCAGCAGATGAACAAACTGGCAAAGCCGTGGACTTGTGGACACACTTGCGAGTCCAGGGAGTCATCGCTTTATTGTGCAGACTGAGAACTGGCTGTGAGGAGCTACATGCGGCGGTGTGTTACATCACATTCAGAAGTGTGGTAAAAACAATGTGACGTGCAAAAGAAAACCATAAAATGAAGAACAATTTTGAAGGCTGGAAAAATGGGCGAGTAAAAGGAGTGAATAGAGAGGAGTAGACATATCTGTACTGTTAATGACATCCTAGCCTTAACCTGGATGGGGTCCAGTAATTAAACTCAGAGAACAGTCTCTGACTCACACGGGTCGAAAATTATTAAGAGACTGACCCAAAATGTAAGCAGTAATATAGTTTATACTGATATAAAGAGTCTACACGCTGGACTTTTTAATCTGCGCACATCACAGACAGCATGAGCTGGTTAAACAACACTGTGATGTCACGGTTTCTTTGCAGACAAAAGGGATGACAGAGTTTGGCAACAAGTATGGATGCCATTAATAATCTAAAGAATGCAAACAGGTTGGGTCTGGGAATCAGCAGTCTCAGTTGCTGCTCAGCTCCCGGGTCGCCTGACCTTGGAACGCTTCCTCCAAAGGTGGAATGATCCCTCCAGGTTGGATGGAAATCTTTTTCTCTGGCATTTTTTTATTTTATTTTTTATTTTTTTTAGGCTTGACAGTAAGATGGAACATAAGACGGATCAGTTTGTCATCTGTTGTGATGAAGAAGATGAGCTCTTGATTTAACAGTCTGACAATGTTCCAAGCCTCAACTACAATCATAATTTGTGGATAATGATCAAAAGAGCAAGATCCTGAACACAAGCAGTCCGAGATGTACGTTAAGGAGTTTAATCATTCTTGGAGAGCTCAAGAGGAGAACTAGTACACCTCGTCAGAATGAGCGGAAGTGGTTCAGGCATCTGATCCAAAGGTCTCCTGACCCCATTCCTCTCTTACATCATTTCTTCTTGGGAAGAGACTGGTTGGGTGTGTTCAAATTCAGGAGTAGCATCCTTGTAAGGACTTCGCCTACCCAGTCCGCATAGGTTGTGCCCTTCCTCGAAGCGAAGACCAGAAGTGAGTGGCAATGAATTGAGACAGTCTAGCCTTCTTATTAATTGCTGTCCCTACTTCAGTGTGTGTCCTGTTGCCTAGCAACCATGATAGCAATAAAGAAAAATACTAGCTCGTTTGAGTGTTTTTCTTATTTTTGACAGAAACATATATTTAAGGAAACATAACAAAACACTGCTTTGAGGTATTTTGGGGTTAGGGTCAGATCTTAACATACTTACATTTAAAACTTGAATACCCCTCTACTTTGTCCACAATTATTCCAACAAAAACCTTCTGTTCTGACCACAATAAGCCTATTCCTGACATCTGAGGACACATTTTGATTATCCTAATTCGGACAGCCTCATCCCTCTGCTATACCTCCTTAAAATGCATTTGAAAGGATGAATTCCCTAGCCCACATCGTGGTGGAAGAATTGAAAAAATAAAACTTAAAGTACTAATTTTTATATAGCGCCTCTCAAGATAGAAATCATATGTCTTATCTGGCCTAGGAATGTCTATGATAATTTGGAGTGTGTCAACAAAGAGAGCAATGTCTTTGATCAGCTATTCCACGGCCCAACCTTAGTTAACTTCTATTTTTAATCTCTACCTTTTCTGTTTGGGTCTGAACAAGCAATAGACAATAACAGATTTATTTTTATACTGTGGGCATCAAATATGTCTTTATTCTCTCCTTCTACTATAACATTCAGTGTTTTCCAGGTACATGAAGATCAGCCTCATGTGGCCATTTGATGAAACACTTGCTTAATGTGGATCTTCTCCTCTCTTACAAATGCAGAAAACATAAGGAGGAAACATAGGATCAGGGCTGGAAACTCCATCCATCTTACACTTTTTACGACATTTGTTGCCACCCTGAATGGCCTGCAACAACAACCTGTGTTACAGAAGTAAATTACCTTGTTTGCAGACTCTCTGCTGACCCATTGTAACGTAATTCTGAACGGGGGAGTTGCTGCCTTCTGCAATCTGAGGGGGGATGTAGCAGGAGGGTCTTAATTATTTAAGCTTCTGGGTCTGATGTTACAAAGACATCATTCCAGCTGGACATCCATGTGTGATTTAATGCATCATGTATGGTCACTGACAGGGGGGTGGAGAAACTTGCGGGGGTTTAAGAGAGAAAATAACACCATCCTTGTTATGTTTCAGTGAAACATGGTTTCAAAATAGAAAAATCAACAATTTTAAGAAACGTCACTTCTCGAACGTGCATTTTGATGAAGTTAAACTTGCAGCCCTGCCAACTAACGCGAGAAGCAGCGCTGGATACGCTGGGGGACAGACGCAGCTCCAGACCCTTGGCTCCATCAACAGGGAGGTTTATTCCAAGGTTAAGTTAGCCAGCCTCAACAGTCTTCTCTCATCACGTTGCGGTATCTCGTCTTTGACGGGATTTTTCCCAGCACGCGACCGGGGTCTAAGCGCGAGGCTGGAGTTAGAGAGCACAGGAGCGGGCTGTTAATCAAGCCTTCAAAAAGAAAAGAAAAAAATAAAACACAAACGTCACGCGCTCCGTCCTTTAATTGTCCATTAACGTTAAGTAATTATCGCCCTCGCCTGTGGTGTCGCATCAGGCTGATATTCGACTCGGATAAATAAATATCTGTTATTTTATTGTTTTAATGAACACATTTGTAGCTGAGGAGTAGTTAATTCCCAGGTGAAACCGCCGCATCTCCCCACTTCAGCCACGGAGACCTGTTAAGCCATCAATTATACTGCGGTAGCCACACAAACAGCAGTTGTTGCATGTGCATGAAACAATGCTATGGAGCTGATTTCAAAGCGTCTCCTGTTCTTTAAACACAGCATCATGACGGAAACCCAAAGCTGCACGAGACGCACATGTAGGGTTTAAATCTAAAAGAAGAAGAAGATTCTCACCAGCAGCAGAGATGCTTGCGTCCCCACTGTTTCTTCTCGCTTCCGCCTTTGGCTTCCCAGGAGTTAATGAGCTTCTGATTTCTCCCTCAGCTGTTATCCGCTGGATCTTTGTGTTGCTGTTTTGTTTTGGTGGAAATTTTGGGTAATTAGCGTGCTCCCGCAAAAGCGCTGCCCTCTTCAAACTAACCTTCCCGCCCCCTCTTTCTACCCGGCTCAGATTGGTGCTGGACAGGAGGGGCGAGCCCCGAACCCGAGGGGCTGGTTCAGAGGCGGTGATGTGTCACGGCGATCAGAGCCCACATGGATGTCCAGTCCCGCTGTGTGGGGGCGGCAGAGGAGGTGTGGAGGGGGGCATCACAGTTAATCGACCAGCTTGTCAGTGATGCTCGCCAAACTAAAGGGTCCCCTCTTTGTTTCTCCACCTCCATCCTCCTCCTTTTTGCGCGCTTGTGCAGATCAGAACCGGTGAATGGGCCCACTTATTAAACGGGATCTGACGGTTTGAGAAGTGACGTAGGTGCCCAAAGGTTCAAGCACGACTGAATGAGATGCCAAAGCCTGAGAGCTGCTGCTGACAGTGATAAAGTAATCTCATCTGAGTCAGTGCAGTAGGAAATGGGAGCTGATTATCCCCCCTCTGTGACCTTGGGGTGGTGTTGTCTCATCAGAGAAGGCTGGCAAAAAATCGGGACAGAAGAGAGGAAATATATGAGACACCTAACCTTTGTCTCACTATGTACAAGGTGCCTTTATAAAAGGGGAATACAAAAGAATCTTACCCCTGCTCACACAGCAGCAAATAGTATAAAAGCATGTTTCCACAGTGCAACTCCCACGTGTGCTTATGTGAGCAGAAACTGGATTTTATTCTTTGCTTTCTATACATTTAAATCTTTCACATCTTAATTAGTGAAATAGATACTGTAAACGGTCGCTAATATGATGTATTGGGGTCTTCTATTAACCATACTGAACTGTGGGAGACGTAAAATTGAAAGAACATAAACTTTTGTCATTAAATTCATATGTTTATAAAGAAAACCCCTCAAGTATTCCGATTTTATTATGCGGGCCAAGTGGCCTAAACAAAGTATAAAAACATCATGTAAAGTTAAAAAAAAATATTTCAGTGGCTCTAATTAACCCAGAATTTTTTTATAAAAATAAACAAAATAAATAAATTAAAATTATATATATATATATATATATATATATATATATATATATATATATATATATATATATATATATATATATATATATATATATATGTATGTATGTATGTATGTATGTATGTATGTATGTATAGCAGCACACACACAAAAAAAAGAAAAACATGTTGAATTCCCTTCAAAATCCCATAGAAAGGCTGCATGAACAAAAGCAAATGCAACTCCAGCTGGTTCAAAACCATCCACCCCACAGCTGCATAGATTAGTCCCTAATAGTTATTGTAACAGAACAGAATGACTCTTATTTTTCCCTTCTTTGCTCAGGACTAGTCTGCATGAGAGATAGTCTTAAGGTCTCATGCATTCCTTCTAACCTGCTTATTTTCAACAGAAGAATGAAGAATGAACTCTTTTCTTTTAATTAATCAAAGAACTCTATTTTAATAAAGCTAATCTATCAAAGTGTTAGTCAATAAATAAGATGTGACCGACCTCTGAAATCAAAATATTAATTACTTTATTATGATCCTGTAGAAATAATAAGTACTGTGACTTTAAGTGTTCCAACAGGACTTATTTCACGTAGTGTTAAAAAGACAACACATTATTTTCACTGATCCAATCAGAATCTTACAGATCTGACGGAGGCGTGCTTCTGACTGTGTTTGGTCATTTTCATTCGACAATAAACCATAACATCCAAAGTATAAAACTATGGCACGTCAGCTCTAATGCCAGTTCAAAGCGTTCCAGAGAAAGTGACAGAGCGGCCAATCCTGATCTCAACTCTTTAACCGAAAGAACCAACGACAAGCTGAAAAATCCAGTCGCTACACCAACCAGCGGCAACAGCTCCTTTCAGAATAAAAGCTCCATCCACCGACCCAGGCTTGGGTCTGACCAGACGTCAATAAACGTGTTGTGTGCCGGAAGTAACTCAGAACGGGTTTGATCGGAACCGCAGCTTTTCCTACCGGCTCGGTTCCAGAGAGGGTTCACTAGACCTCGATATTCCTGATCTACAGAGGACTTTCACCGAAGGCAAAGTAGATCGGCATGATGGGGTCTCATGTTTTTCTGAAGCTATCCAAAGCTTAATGCAAAACAACATGCTTGCTACTGCCAACTATTGATCAGACTAATCCCAGACCAGCCCCCAATTCTTACCACCTGGCTCAAGTAGCTGCAGCAAAAAGAGGACAAATCAAGTAAATGTTAGTAAAAAATACTAAATAAATAAACAACCCGTCACATTTTTGTACTATTCTCTAAATAAGCTTCATGAGATCCTCACCTGAGAAGGGATTCCAGTCTTAAAAGAGTTCCCAGAGAAACTGGCCTTAATTCTGTAGTCCACCTAATCCCAAACAATCTTGAGTGGGTTTTGGTTATGTGAGTGGAGAGGCGAGGTAAACACACATACCAATAACATAGCATGGAGGTATGTTTGGGGTCATTGTGTTGTTGAAAAATTCGGGAACCAGAAACCCAGAAAGACAAGAACCAAAACCAGTGATAACCCTACCATACATCAAAGGCATAACAGAAAAAATAAGAGCAACAATGAAAAAACACAACATAAACACACCAAAAAAAACCATACACAACAGTTACAAACAGACTAGTACACCCAAAAGATAAGATACCAGCTGGACTTAAATATGGAGTTGTTTACGAAATCCCATGCAAACTCTGCAATGAAACATACATAGGAGAAACCGGACACCAACTCAACACAAAAATAATAGAACATAGAAAGGAGTGAGAGAGAGAAACAAGTCGAAAACACACAAGAGCAACAAAACAAGAAGCAGAAAGCATAATAAAGAAGTCAGCCGTAACAGATCACTGCACAAGAGAAAACCATGTAATGGACTGGAACCACACAAGGATCATAAACACTGAACAACAGAAATATAAAAGATGGATAAAAGAAACCATAGAGATAAGGAGACGTGGATGCGGGACTATGAACAGAGACGATGGGGTCTATACATTGGATCGCGCATGGGACTACATCATCGGAGAGGGGAGAGCGGGCATCAGAGGGCGACAATGTCCTCTGCTGCCCGTGGATAAACGGAGTAAGAAGTGATACCACCATCGGCGTCAGCTCTGAGGATGTTTTGCAGTTGACAAACAAAACTGTCAGCAAGTTAAAGAGAAACCTTTCCTGTGTTTTAAAAAGAACCAAAAATGGAATTACATACCATACCAAACCAAACCATACCATACCATACCATACCATACCATACCATACCAAACCATACCATACCATACCATACCATACCATACAAAACCACACAAAACCACACAAAACCATACCATACCATACCATACCATACCATACCATACCATACCATACTTTACCAAATCATTCCAACCACATCATACCATACCATACCATACCATACCATACTATACCAAATCATTCCAACCACATCATACCATTACCATACCATACCATACCATACCATACCATACCATACCATACCATACCATACCATACCATACAAAACCATACCATACCATACCATACCATACCATACCATACCATACCATACCATACCGGGACTCCCAGTGCATTGGTTTCTGACGCGTGAGTGCCTGAGCATCTTTTTCTGACGCCCCTTAACCTCTTGCTATTTAATCTTCCCCTCACCCCCATCCTAATGTTAACCCTGTTGCTCCTTCTAAACTTCCAGTTAATCGTGTTGGAGGAGGACAATACAACTAGGAACAAACTATTGAATGTGCAAGAGGGCTAAGGTTAGGATGGGGGTGAAGGAAAGGTTAAATAACAAGAAGGTAAAGGTCAGAATTTGGTGAAATCTTTGTTTTACCTCTGTCACAGTGCATCGGTTTCCGACGCGTTGGGATTCCCTACAATGAATCAGGAAAAAACGCTTGGCCACCCAGCGTCAGTTTTCGCCACTTCAGGAGTGAGAATGTGTTGACATACCATATCACATTTATAGACTTTTGAGTTGCAACAAGGTGACACAAAGTGCTGTACATGAAACCAACATCATAAAACAAGTAAACCATATCACAGATCAAATAAGGGTGCATAAAATACATCTAAACATCTAAAGTTAGTAAACCATCTGAACCCCTTAAACTTTCTGAAAGAATGCAGAGGTTTTGCATCACTGTTAAAGCAATAGGTGGCTACTTTGAAGAGTCAAAATTATAAAACATTTTTAGATGAGCAGATGAAACGACAGACAGAAGGTGGATATCAGATCAGTGGTAGTATTTATGAGTGAAACGCAACAAACACAGTGACACACAAATGCAGCAGCGCACCTTTGGGGAGAGTAGCGAGAAAAATAAGATTAATGGTATGAATTAAATAAGAATGACACTTTTTAGATTCCCAGATGTCCCACAAGTCCAGAGTCAACTGGCTGTTAAACGAGATGATGCTCAAACAAAATAGAAAGGCATTAAATGTGACAATTGAGAAAGTATTTTCTTGGTGAGTAAACATCCGGGGTTGCTCTTGGCTTTAAGAGAGTTACGGTAGAAGCAGCAAGCTGGGGCAGGTGATCACACGGGGAGTAGATTGCTGCTGTTACAGCATCTCAGTTACAGCCAAACCAAACTGGTTGTTTAATCTTTTTTTTTTTTTTTTTTTTTTTTTTTTTTTTTGTGGCGCTGCTACGGTTGATTTTATCAATGTTCTTTATTCTAGTGGTGTTTTTGTTCAGTTGGGCCAGAAAAATGTTCAGGCAGCCCACCTTGGTAAATTAGTGCAGGGAAACTAATAAGTACACCTGAAAACACTCTATACCTTCAGCCTTCCTTTTTATCATTGGAGAAACACTTTTTAATGTTTGGATGGTATGATGTGATTTCCTTTCATGTTTACAAATATTACTGCACATTATACATTATTGTTTACTGTATTGAATTTCAAAATGTATGTGTTCATTCTGGTATCAAATATAGACTTTTATTCATCCAAAGTGTGAAATGTGAATTTTTCATATTGCTTTACAGTTTCAAGTAGGTGTAGTTAAGACTCCCTTTAGAGAAGTTGTAAATTATTGCATCAGAAAAAATATTGTTTTATTTAGTTGACTGAAATTGCTTTGTATTGTAGTCAAGTGAAATAAGACTAAAATTATACCAAATTGGAAGACTAATTTGTGATTATAGTAGAATTTTAGTAAACAGACTAAGAATAAAACTAAATTTATGTCTTGTCAAAATCAACAATGGTCAGCTTTTCTACCGTTGTACTGTAACGCCGGAGGTTATTTACCCTCTCTCCTCAGATGTCTCTGACACAGAACTAATCGGC